TCTTTTTGATTTTTCTCACTTTCGTTCTGTTTCTCTTGTACTTTTTGCCGTTAAAGTGACTCCATATCTGAAATCCATGACCCTGCCGCTCTACGCGTCACTGTGATGTGTACGGCATTGATTGTGTTCATGTCATCAGAACGGGTTTGCTTTTCCCCTGAGTGGCACCAGAACCTGCTGCGAAAACTCTGACTTGTTTCTATCTTATTTGCGCCGCAGTAGCAGCAGCTTGCTCTGCTTCAGTCCCACCTCTGTGCCACAATCCTCTGAGCATTGATGCAGCGCAAAGTGCATCGACATGAAATTATGCAGAAAAATGCAGAGACCTGTTGAGGAAAGCCGTTACCATGGAAACAGATTTTATTCTTAAATGATTCAGCTTCAGTCTATCACCTCTGACCTCAAGTCTCTCCTCTTAGACTGAAACTGCTGCAGATCTGTAGCACTAGCTTAACATTTCACATCCTGCGCTGCACCGTTATACTTTTGTCAATGCTACCTTCAGTGAGTGTAGGAAATTTCAGTATCCAAGAGCCGAACAGGGCCCGTCGAAGGGCCGCATCACTACCCCTACACTGGAAGATCATTCAGACTGCAGAAGCTTTCTAATTGTTTCCAAAAAAGGCAAAACACAGAGCAGCCAGCATCAAATCCAAAGGAATCATCTCTAGACCTCTGTGACAGGATTGTCTTGAGACACAAATCTGGAGAAGGATCCAGAACCTGGCCTCCTTTTAACATAGGTGGACTGAAGCTGGTTTCAGCCTTCAGGATGGCCGACTGCTCTTGTCCTCTGCCACGGAGCCCTTCTGGCATGACAGATCCCACTTCTGACACCAAGAATGTGGTGGAAATTCCTTATCCAACAGGTAGAGAAACTACTCAAGGACTGAGAAAGTTGCAACTTTGTCTTTCAAGTGTTTTATTTGAAGGCAGTCAGTTTAAAGACTGAATCCAACAGAGCCAGGGAAAGCAGAGCGACATCTCACAGATACGTCCTTTTTTTAATCCACGTCTGTTATCAGAGAGCACATTCCATACAAGAACACTGTTCTGGACAGAGAAGCAGAAGTGGCAACATCAGCCGGTTTGGTCCGGTTCTAATCAGTTCTTGTGGTACGTAACTCTTCACGCCACCAGGAAAACGTCCTTGGCCGAATCCTGGAAGATTCTGCAACAACTTGAACACGTTGTAAAAAAGTGACAAAACGAGAACAGACAGTGACTTACTCAAAAATGTCCACTTCTCAGACAAACAAAGTGAAGGTATATAAAGTGTGTTTCCATCTCTGAGACATCCTGTGACCAGAAACTGCTGCTGGAACAGACTCTTCAACTAATCATCAAAACAAGGTAACATTCAAAGTCCTGCTGCTCATCATGATGTTTTATGTCTTGGTTGAGTTGATTTGTTCACTAATTATGAACGTTCCTAACGACTCTTTCCACAGATGGCTGCTGGTCTCGTCTTCACTCTGCTTCTTGGTCTGAGCTTTGGACTCTGGGATGGAGCTGATGTAAGTAAGGACTTAAAACAATGATTGGTACGTCCCTGTTGTGAGCTTTGGCTGACTGACGCAGATCGGATGGAGCAATCTGAGCCATTATTTGGTTGAACTTCAATGAAGAAACTTTGTTTTGTTCTGAAACTTTGGGGTTTTTCCATCAACAGGCTGGATGTCAACTGAGAGGTGCGTGCTTCTTTTATTGTTGTTATATTGAGTTTCTAACACCAAGAAGACAACAGTTATATAGTGGGAAGTTCTTTAAAAATATATCAAAATTTTGCTTTATTTGGTCGTCCTTTCAACACTTAATTCAGGACTTAATTTCTGTATAAAGTAAGTTAATAAATTGTTTAGTCAGTACATATTGCACAGAAACATCCCATCCTACAAGGCAGATAGGTCACAGTAGTTTTTACAGACGGCAGCTAGAAACACTAGGAAGGCAAATTACTGTCTGAATAAAATAACTGAATCAGAACCAATAAATGTCATTTCAGAGGTTTTTCATGTGAATATATTTTCTAATAACTTTTATGTATATTTACCATAATTGTTATGTAGTGGTGTGATTGAGAGGTGATGAGTCTGACGCAGAGGACCCAGATCGGAATTAATAAATGATAATTTAATGACAAAATCCAGAAAATACAATGTCCTAAATCCAGGCAGCACAGAGATGAGCAGAAGGTTAAAGCTCTCTACTGGTAGCAACTGGATATATAAAGGACCTGACTGACTGACCAAGGCAAGACTGTTAGACAAGAGGAGGACCCAATGAAGAACAAGGAAGACGGGTGGGTTTAAAAACACAGAGGGTAATCAGGGAAATGAGACACAGCTGGGAACAATTAAAGGGTAGACAGGACAACACGGAGACTCAATGGACACAGAAACCCAAAATAAACACACAGAAAAACTCAAATCCTCACAATAATGTTTGATGCAGCTGAACCTCTGGACTGTGTTCGGTGATAAAAATGATGCTGATTATCGGATGGACGTATTTACCTTTTTTCTTCATATTTCCCAGCTCCCACAAAACTTGACTGCCCTGCAGGCTGGAGTTGGTTCGAGCATCGCTGTTTTGTGTTTGTTCCTTATCAAATGACCTGGGCTGCAGCAGAGGTACAGCAGATGTGCTGGTCACAGCAGATTTCCTACATTCAAAGGAAATGTAAATTTATTGATACAAGATAATAAAATTCACCACCAACAAGGTTACAGAAACTGATTTAAACAAATAGAACCATAATTTCTAAAGGTTGATATTCAGCTGCACCAACTGTCTCACTGCAGAGGGAAGTTTAAACCACTGTTGTCTTTTTCAGAAACATTGCCTCTCAATGGATTCACATCTGGCCTCATACCACAGTAGAGAGGAGTACAACTTCATCAGAAACCTAATCCACAAAGCAACTGGAAAACACACAACATCTTGGGTTGGAGGTTATGATTCAGCACAGGTGAGATTTTAAAAACACAAATAAGTTTGTCTGGTTGATCACTTTTTATGTCAATGTGCATTTCTCATGGCACTTTGTAAATGCTTTGAGACATTTGCTGTTAATTGGCATTTTATAAATGAACTGAATTGAATTGAACAGGTCTTCCTAATAAAGTGGTCAGTTCAGTCAAATACATTCCAGTTGATCCTGGTTATAACACGATGCAGTTAACTGCA